ATTACGAAAAATCTGAACCTGATGTGATCATAATCCAGGTTCTCTGAACTATTTTCCAGCCGGGTAGCTGGTGATATGAAGGAATGTCTCGGACGGCCTGGAGCCTATATTTTCACCAAAGGAAGTAAAATTTTCTTCTGCAAGTAATTTAGCAGTCAGAAAAATCGCAGAAGCACTCAAATGAATATTAATACATATAGGTATCATTAAATTTTGCATGAAGCTAAACGTTTTGGGTTGTGTAAAAGTGAAATGCTTAGGGTTTTAAAATTTATTTATGTCGAAATGTTAATATTTAGGATGGGTCAACACATGGACCAGAACTTTCAATGTCCTTCTGTAACTACGTCTCTGCCCTCTTATACATTGAACAGATTGAGCAGAGAATTATAGATCCTAATTATGAATTTTATTCTTTGCATATTACATTATATACAATCAAGCATCAAACGTTTTACATTAAAACGCTTTTACCTGGAAAATATTATTTTTGCGTGTTTCCTAGGTTTGCATGTTCATTCTAGTAGTTAAATAATACGTTTCCACAAGCTTACTCCAGCACGAAAAATTTTGCATAAACATTGGTAATTTAAAGGTTGCACATAGTGCTTATCAAGATCTTTTTTCTCAAGTATGGAAGTAGGTATTTATGAGGACACTACATATATATAAGCAAACAAGACAAAACTTCTTGCTTCGTATGTTCGGCATATGTTTCATAGTTTTTCATGAAGTGTTTACAATTAGTGGTCCAACGGATGAAAAGAAAATTATTCATTTGTAAACGACAAAAAAAAAGGAGAAGGTTCTCAAGTCGACGCGTATATTGTTTTTATGTATGACCACGCATAACTTTTTACAGAGTAGTTCCATTTTGATATTTTTTTTTTTTATTGGAAAAGGCATACTCCGAAGTTGGTCCCATATAAATTTTGAAACCAACCCTAAGGGTAGGAAAACAGGGGATGATTGTTGATTGTTGTTCACTCACTGATTGTAATGTATGATCACGCATAACGTTTGACAGAATAGCCCGATTTTGATAATTCTTTTTTTATTGGAAAAAGTATACTCCGAAGTTGGTCCCATATAAATTTGGAAAAAAAATTCCAACCCTAAGGGTAGGAAAACAGGGGATGATTGTTAATTGTTGTTCACTCACTGATTGTAATGTATGATCACGCATAACGTTTGACAGAATAGTCCGATTTTGATAATTCTTTTTTTATTGGAAAAAGTATACTCCGAAGTTGGTCCCATATAAATTTGGAAAAAAAATTCCAACCCTAAGGGTAGGAAAACAGGGGATGATTGTTGATTGTTGTTCANGTGAGCCGTATAATAAAATGGAACTAGCTAGTTTCATGTCTTCTTCAAAAGGATATATGGGAGAGTGCGGTTTGAGAGGAGGGTATGTCGAGGTCGTGAATATGAACCCTATGGTAAAAGCGATGTATTTAAAAGCAATAAGTGCAATGTTGTGCCCTACCGTCCTAGGTCAAATTGTCATGGATGCTGTTGTAAATCCACCTCGAGAAGACGAACCCAGTTACGAACTGTATATGAAAGAAAAAAGTGCTGTATTGGACTCTCTAAAGGTAAAGGAATCTTTAATATCGTATTAGCAAGGGCGGCCTTTGGGGGTGGCGAGCAGGGCAACCGCCCGGGGCCTCGCTCTTGCAGGGACCTCGCGCACTCGCGCAACAATATTAGATAGTACCTATTTGAATTTCTTAATAGTTTTAAAAAAATCCGCAAATTTGCCAGTTTTGTGTTTATTATTATTATTTTTAAAGCCGCCTTTGATATTGACTAAATCTTAGACTATTGTGTCTACCAGAGCCACCCCCATTTGTAACGACCAATGAAGCTGGTCATCCATAATATTTAGGAAGTGACTCCTTCACTCTATCACCTTTACTTACATATTTAAGTTTACTTAAGTTTTTTGTTTTCTAAGAGAGATCATATAATTCTAAGACAGATCACATAATACAGAGACAGCCAAGATAGTTTAAAACAAACGGGTTCGATGTACATAGTCCATGGTATAAATTAAAGTGTACAGTAGATGTAAGTTCAATACAAAATTCAGAACAAATTAAACGTCTATGCGTTCTTATCTCAATAACAAATTGCACCGCTAATTAATTTTGGTGGTGCCGCTTTATTCTGCACTACTAATATAGTTAGCAGAAGGATATTTATTGCCTGATACGAGCCCTTACAAAGGCTAAACCCACCCGAACAGTTATGTAATAAAAACTTTTTAAGAAAAAAATTAAACCGCCGAAAAAACTGAAAAGCAAAAAATAATAAACCATTATTTTATTAACCTTAATGACTAAGTTCTTCAACTAATACCATGGTAATTTTGAGTCGGCGCTAAACAATCAATAAACAAAGCTCACTAAATTAATCAAATTAACAATGCAATAGTTATTTCTTTAAATTTAAGGTAATTTAGTGATCTTTGTTTATTGATTGTTTAGCGCCGACTCAAAATTACTTAGGTATATCTACTTGCATTAATTGAAGAACTTAGTTATTAAGTTCATAAAATAATGGTTTATTATTTTTTGCTTTTCAGTTTTTTCGGCGGTTTAATTTTTTTGTTAAAAAGTTTTTATTACATAACTGTTCGGGTGGGTTTAGCCTTTGTAAGGGCTCGTATCAGGCAATAAATATCCTTCTGCTAACTATATTAGTAGTGCAGAATAAAGCGGCACCACCAAAATTAATTAGCGGTGCAATTTGTTATTGAGATAAGAACGCATAGACGTTTAATTTGTTCTGAATTTTGTATTGAACTTACATCTATTGTACACTTTAATTTACACCATGGACTATGTACATCGAACCCGTTTGTTTTAAACTATCTTGGCTGTCTCTGCATTATGTGATCTGTCTTAGAATTATATGATCTCTCTTAGAAAACAAAAAACTTAAGTAAACTTGAATATGTAAGTAAAGGTGATATCAGTGATATGTTTTCAAAATGCGAAAGGTGATTTCGTTGGAAGGCTCTTGTAGTTCAGCCAAGAAATAATTAAATTAGTCTGAGCTTATCACGCCAACNTTTTCTAATTAGATTGTTGCGCGAGTGCGCGAGGCCACGAGCGATTACCCTGCTCGCCACCCCCAAAGGCCGCCCTTGGTCAATAGTCTAAGATTTGACCATCTGACCCATTTCCGGGTAAAAGTGTAAACATTTATGGGACAATAGAATTAATTATTTGAAAAAAGCAAACATTAAAAGAAACTGAGTTTTGAGTGAAACGAATTGATGACTAGGACTAGGAACAAAAACGAAAGATTGTCAGATCTCAAGATGTTTTTCGACGGACCTACTTTAAATCGATAAGACGAAATGTGTAGATTGTAGAAAAATAACTCCGGTAGCTGCGCCACTGATCTTACATATTTATTTTTAAAAATTTTATATATTA